TCGAGTTTGTACGCATGCCATTCGGCCTGAGAAATGCGGCACAAACATTTCAAACATTCATGGATAACCTACTTCGAGATATGCCATTTGCACAGGGGTATATAGACGATTTGTTAATTGCCAGCCCCGATTTACAATCACACGAACAGCATGTACGAGCAGTGTTAAAAGGACTGGATGAAAATGGAATGAACATACATCAAAGTAAGTGTGTTTTCGGTGTTTGAACTCTAGAATTTCTTGGGCACACAATAAGCCCAGAATGGATTACACCTATCAAAGCAGAAGTGGACACCATCAAACAATACCCTATACCTAGATCTCTAACACAACTGAGAAGTTTTTTAGGTCTAATTAACTTTTATCGCAGATTCATACCCGGTTGTGCACAACTAATGCAACCCTTGACAGATTCACTTAAAGGAAAACCAAAAGAATACAAACTGTCTTATGACGCCGTCGAGGTATTCTACCTTCGGGCGAGAGATTCTGGCAATCTACCTGACCATTAAGCACTTCCGACACATGTTAGAAGGCAGGGAATTTATAGTCTTTACAGATCACAAACCACTAACGAATGCATTAAAAGCGAAAGCCGAGAAATACTCACCGCGAGAAGTTCGACACCTTGACTATATATCACAGTTCACAAGTGATATCCGACATGTCAAAGGTCGGGACAATCAGGCTGCAGACGCTTTATCTAGATTAGAAATGAACGTGCTACAGCAGTCTACAGTAGACTTCGAGACGCTGAAGCACGAACAAGAAAAGGATCCAGAATTACAAAACCTGCTTAAAACAAATAATTCAAGTCTTAAATTAGAACAGTTATCTTCGCATATCGACGGTATTCTAATTTACTGTAACACGACCAAGGCGTTGCCTCGACCTTTCGTTCCTAAAAGTATGCGAAAGTTGATATATATTAACTTCCATGCTTTGTCTCATCCTGGCGCAAAAGCTTCAACTAAACTAATTAACGCCAGATATATATGGCCGAATTTACAGAAGGATGTACACAAATGGGTCAGAGAGTGTTCGGCATGCCAACAATCAAAGGTTATTCGTCACACAAATTCACCCATAGGTGTTTTCTTGCAACCAGATGCACGTTTTGCCCATGTGCATATCGACTTGGTAGGACCTTTACCACGTTCGAACGGTTTTAATTATCTTTTTACATGCATAGATCGATTTACCAGATTCCCTATAGCCATCCCGATAGCGGACATCACAGCGGAAACAGTAGCCAAGGTTTTCATGCAGAACTGGGTAACCATTTTTGGTACACCCATAACAATAACGACTGATAGAGGAGCGCAATTCGAATCCGAACTATTCAATAACTTGGCCAAACTTCTAGGCTCCAATAGGATACGCTGTACGGCATATCATCCTCAGGCTAATGGGATGGTAGAACGTTTTCACCGTCAGCTAAAGACCGCTCTTATATCTCACTCGAACCCCAATCAGTGGACAGAATTCCTACCGTTAGTCATGTTGGGAATACGAACATCTGTCAAAACTGACGCAGTGTTCAGCAGCGGAAATGGTTTTCGGAACAACTATGAGACTACCAGGTGAATTTATTAACCCTAATACTAACAGTCAAAAACTTAATTTAGAAAATTACGTAGATCAACTACGGGACAACATGTCCAAACTTAAGCCAATTAATACGCGTGAACAATCGCGAGCTATATATATACCTAAAGGTCTAAGCAATTGCACGCACGTCTGGACAAGGTGTGACAAAATAAAAGCACCGCTTAGCCCTCCGTTTAAAGGTCCTTTCAAAGTCGTCTCAAGAAAAGATAAATATTTCATGATAGAAAGACATGGAAACACGGACTCCGTAAGTATTGATAGGTTAAAACCAGCTTATCTCGATCATGAACCGCCGTACGTGTTGTTAGACCGCTTACCTGACAAAACAATTGCGGAATCCACATGTAAAAACGGTAAATCTGTACAAGTGACTAAAACGGTTAGATGGGCACATACATTAGTCAGTCAAGAATATTGACAGTTTTGGCTGCAGAATAAAATCTAATCACGTACCTAGTAGGATCCTGCGTTTATTTCAAAATATTTTTTTTTCTCATAACGTACCACCTATTTTATTTAACTAAAAAAATACTTTTCGATGTCACACTATCCACAACTCCCCAGATCTTTTACTTTTGATATATGAGTGTGTTAAAATTTTTATTAAAAAAAATACTGGATACATAAGCTAGGTATTCCTAAACAATTGCTGAGTGACAGTAGTCGAATTCATAAAAAGGGGTAAGTCACACCAGAGAACGACAAATCTCCAAATAAGGTGAGTGATGTGAACAAGCTGCGTCTGTTGAATTAAACAATTTCTTAGATTTTACCAATAATAGTAAACAATTAAAAAGCTGGAGGCAAACGTTGAACGAATTCCCTGTGAGCATGTATTATGAAACCACACAACTAGACCTGGCAGCAACGGCGAATTCAGAAAGCAACCCAGGCGAGTCTTTTTTTTCGGTTAGTCGACTGTGTTTGTAGTACTTCTTATACACACATTCACTTAGACTCGATATAGACCATATGAACTAATCCTAAAACGTTTTCGGTTGGAGATGTTTAGTAGCTTGATACGATCGATAGTACTATTAATAAGTTTTTTTTTAAACAAAACATTTAGATCAAACCATGGTCAAGTACTTATAAAGGTTCTCATCATAATTTTTTTCATGTTTAGGTAATTTATGCAATAAGTTGACCAGTTTTCCTGAAAGTGAACAATTTTTATCACCTACTGACTGGGTCAATGAGTCAATTGATCTTGAAACTTTTCTGACAGTCTCAACATAATAATGATAATATAATAGTACACTCAACATCAAAGTCATACACAACATACAAAAATTAATCTATATTCTTTGATCGTAATACAACTGTTATATAAATTACATTTATTCAGTTAAAAGCAAGTTCGCACAAGAAGAATACGTTATACAGTAAGCATAATACAAAATCTTACTTAATTGATGTAACGATTTAAATCTGATGGGAACAGAACGTAGAAATGATTCTGTAGGTTCAAAAGATTGAACAACACCTCTCAAATTAACAACTGCTGATTCGCCTGTATAATTATTGTTTGGTTCATGTATTTTAATAAATATTTCCGATGTCCTAGACAGAAATAACAAGCAAGAAAATATTCATATGATCTACACCATAATACACGTATTGCAAGTATCATTAACGAGGTTCGACTTGATCATTTCAAATAAATTGAGCATGGGGTAGATTGTTAGAAATAAAAATAACATGTTTATAATATCCCAATGAGTAGAGGAATTAGATTTTCTGACGTTTCGTGACTCAGTGCAAGCCACTTCTTCAGAGACGTGGCTTCGACTCACATTTCTAGTGTAAGCACTAGTGACACGATTCGAGTCCAAGAGTTCAATGTATTAAATAAAAAGCCATTGAGTTATATACAATAATATACACGTAGTACAGATGTGTAAATGTACTGGAAGCTAACATCTTACTAAACTTTTAAACTTGCTCCTGAAATTCACGAATCACGAATATCCATTGGAAATCTTAAGACTGGCTTAAGTGAAGTAGAATAAATTAAGAAAACAGGTACAGGATAATCGGATATTTAGTAATTTAATAGTTGAATTCATCAGTCAATTAAAGCTACACCACCTTGGAAAACCTGGAAGCACTGGACGGTCGTTTCGTCCTAGTATGGGACTCCTCAGCAGTGCGCATCCACGATCCCACTCTCAGGATTCGAACTCACGACATTTGCTATTTGGAGAAAATCAGAGTAAATGTTCTTGGACCTGTGTAGTCGATCATAACTTATGCCATTCAAGAAGTTCATAATCATCAACTACTATCGACCAATAGATTATAATCTAGGTTTCATAGCTTGATGAATCCCTTAAACAAGTAACCCAGTGATAATTCCACATGAAACTCTTACTTCAATTTACCAAACGTGGTGCATAGAGGAAGAGAATGTCTAGGTGTGTACGAAACGTCCAAAAACACCTTAATTCAAGTGGATTAACAAGGGATTTTCGTTCATCACTTATCAGTTCAACATAGTAGTAAGTGAGAAGTTGAAATACAAGTCAAATATAAACATAACTAATGAAGTTATCAGGCGGCATTTTCTAAACAGGAAACTATTCTTAGAAGTTTGTGTTTGTCAAACTTTGTCTGGAAATCTTCTAGAATTTTATCCAAAGAAATAGTATAGTATAGTATATTCATTGGACTAAATGGTGAACGTAAAAAATCTAAATAACCATAAGATATAACAAAGGGTGCTTCTTCATAAAATAACCATATGATTAGAACTTACGGTACTTCAGGTCCAACAGAATATGATGTCACAGGCTTTTGAGATGTTGGACAATATTTCCCAAGAAGTATTTGACTTCTACGAAGTTCCTGTGTACGCTCATACAAAGAGTCTTCAAGTAACGCGACCTGAGTAAAATATATGTACAATAATGTTAAGTTGTTTCATTATGTCAACCAATAAAATCAAATGCTTCAAAGAAAAATCCTTTTAACAAAACGTAACTAACCTGTTCATCCAATCCTTCAATGGTTGCTTTTAAATGTGTATGTTCTACAGTTGCATGACATAAGCGTTCTTTTAAAGTAAGAAACTCTGCATTACTTGCCTTCAACTGATCCATAGCCATAATCGCTTCCTCCTCAGCTACTTTTATTCGCTGTAACAACTGAGAATGTAACGAATCTTCATTAACACTTTGGCTCGGGTTAACCAAGTTATCATGCTTTAATTCACCAATTGAATGAAGCATCGAATTTCGATAACTATTTATTGCGGCTTCATTGTCGTTTTCCATTAATGATACTGGTGCCGATTTATTGGATACATGAAGGTTATTTAACTGAACCTCACTTAGGTTGCTTGGTTCGTTTACACTACCATGTTTTAAACTTCCATCAACCAAAATTACACCAGATGAAGAAGTTTCGCATGAAGTTATGTCATTGCCTACCACCAGTCAAAACAGATAAGAACAAAAACTATAATAACTATAAGATAACTATGTACAAAGCAAAGATCAATTAATTTCCAGTGAAACAGTTCATCTGAGAAATCTCATCATACCACCTAAATATGAAAGGTAGCACAACAATAGATTAATTATCCTTAAAAATATTCTTAAAACTCTGATGCCTAACCCAAATACTACTTCGTTAGTTGTAGCTAACGAGAAGTCAGGTGGGAAAGACCAATTTATTGTTGAATGCAAAAATTACAGAGTATCTTCGTAAAATATGAAAACCATACATTAAATATTTCATTTGCACATCTTCCATCAGTTTTCTCTTACAAACTTCACCGTTCCTTTATTCCAGTTCTTATCACAATTACTCTCTTTATATTCTTGTTCTCTTCAATTCGATCTTCCCAATCTTACGCTGACAGGCATTCTGTTATATCCTAGTGAGGATATATATATATATATATATATATATATATATATATATATATTCCTATTGTATAACTGTTCAGTAACTAGATTATGTATATCTATATTCCTCTTATTACAAGCTTCATTTAGGCCTATAGATTATGATTAAACGATTTACTGTTCTAAAGTTATGTTCAGTTAATCGATTACAGCCTCCCACGTTCACAGCCACTTTTTAGCTTCAACTTGTATAAACGTTATTTCCTATTTTATAGTGTGATGCGGTCTGTTTGGCTGGTATATAAACCAAGTATGTTCGAAATAAATGATTCACATAGTGAAAGCTGTTATTGGCTTTCTGCAATCAACTGGACGGGCTAGAAGAACAAAGGACCAATAAGGACGCTAGGCTGCTCATACCGGTCGAACGTCATTGGTTTAGCAGTGATAAGATTAAATAAGTCGTATTTCGATTGGCGAATAAATCCACCGGCTTCTGATACGTGTTACATACTACTTATATCTGTTGACGTAAGCAGCATACACCACAAGTACTCTGATTTCTTTCCTTTGTAAAGATAAATGCAAATAAATGATAACTGGAGTATAAACTTAATCTGAATACATATACGTGTAAATAGGCTCAAATCCAATACACCGCAGTTATCGACAGGGAAAATTACAACAAAATGTATAAATCAAACGATCATTGTCATCACTAAATTCTTATTGCCTACTAAATTCTCTAATTATGGGACATTCATATTCGTGATCAGGATGTTTCAGGTTGAGCAGACTGCAGAATTTAACAAAAGATATAGTCCGTAAAATGAAATAACAAAAACCAAATAACAGGAGGATTGAACGTCTAAAATTTACCTATGATGAACGGTCCCGTTTGAACATATTTACAATTTTCAACCGGGAGATGTGGTGAGATGTTATCGTATCCACCAATAGGGTCAATAGCTACATCAACCTTTTGGATAAAATCAGTTGCGGGAATATCATTCAACAAATCTGTTTGAACGAAACTGTCCATAAAGTGTGGCTTGTGTATTGCTTTCTTCTTAAAGGCACTGTCCTCACAAACAAAATTCTGATGATTTATTATATTCCCTTGATGATCGATTAAATCAGGAAACGGGTTCATTTTAGATTGTTTACGTTGTAAAACATCGTTGAGACGTTGAAGTTTTTGACAATTTGTACAGCTTGAGGAATCAGATGAGTTTGTATTCACCAAACTATTAAGTTTGCTTGAAGAAATGCTTTGTGGTATAAGGCGATTTAACTGCATCCGTAAAGCTCTTGCATTTGAATTTGCTTCAGCTAACTGACCCCGAAGTCTTGATGCCTCACGATCATCATCTTCTCTTTGACGTGCCATATCTAATCGCAATTGAGTAAGCTCATTTTGAGCAATAGATAATCTCAGTTTTAAATCGTCGATACTTAAAGTATCTACATCTTGCAGTTCATTATTTGTGTGTACATTTCTTAGTAAATTCTCAATCACAACTATGAAGTAAATGTAAAAATAATAATAATACTCACATTATTGAAAGTTTTACTTATTTACACTTATCTCTTATATCGATATCATATACGAAGTAGAGAGATTGAAATCGAATAATGAAATGAATGAAAACGTAGTCAAACTTGACACTTGACTTTATTTCGTAGCATACGTCTGAACTTCCAAGCGAATTCTCAGCTTAATCAGCCAATATATTTGTCCAAATAATTAAGATCAAAAGAGGTGATCGCATTAGCAAATACAAACTGTTGATAGATCATTTATTGAGTACTACAACGCATTGTTTGAAACACAAAATATTATCATCTCGTCGAATTTACATAATAATTGGTTTCTCAGAAATTACATATGGTTGTATTTAAATACATCTGCAACTGTATATCGAAACACAATTTCGTGAGTGTCTATAGTGCATGACTTAAAACCCAATACATGGAGTAACATATAGTTATTCAGTTTCTTTTATTCCTTGCTTTAACCCCTAAGTGTGTCACATCAACGCACTGGGACAGTTCCAGTAAGCAATAATTTCAAAATGCTCAAATAAAAAGAGTTAATAAAACGCGTGACGGAGGAATCATTAGTGTAAAAGAATAAACTTGACAAAATTATTACAAAAACACACAGAAGAATACAAGCTCTCTTATGAGTAAGACGACACAACTTAGATTACTTATCTGTCGGTAAGGAAACACTATAATAAACGTTTCATATCATTAAACTAACGATAAGAGATTAACACAATAAACTAACAATTGAAAAGCAAGAGACAGATAGGCGTGAGATCAAATCAGTCACTAGACACAAACAAATTACAACACATTTAAATCTTATAAAGCACAAACCCCGCATATTTTGGTCCAAAGAACTAGTGTTCACATTTGTTTTACTGAAGAATAATTTCAACTGTTCTAATAAAGCAGTTGCTTTAGCTAATTGATTACGTAAATGAGTAATCTCCATAGTAGTTCTACGTTTTTGTGCTTCATAATTTCTTTGATGATGACGAATAGTATCTACACTGGAATCCAGTTCAGTACCCATATGATCTAATCGTTCTTGTAATTTATCAATACGTGTTTTTTGATTTATACGGTGTTTTCTTAAACGATCCAGTTGACCAACTGCATTCAATAAAGCCTCTTGTAATTCACACTTCGTTGGTTCATCGGATTCAGAAAAACTAGAATGTCTCAGTGTGCGATTGAGAACATTCCTTGGATTAACCAGTCCATATTTTAATAACTAAAAATGAAATAGTCAGAAATGATTTATAAACTCAATGAATCAAAATATTTTATGAATAAAATGACAAATGTATACATAACGATTAAACATAAATTTGTCACCAATACGATGCATCCCATACTCAGGTGACATGAAGAATTTCGTAAGGGTGAACAGCGAATGACTCTGAATACATAACAACTTCTGGCAGTAGAGTTCTCTTGCATTAAACACTAGTTTTAGGAGCCAAAATTAAAGACATTAAACTAATGACTTTCACTTCTCATCAGGAATAACCACATTGCTTCATAATTCATTCCACGTGTTTCTGATCTCTGATGCATCTCTAATCCCAACCACTCGTCGTATTATTTTAAATCGAGGATTATTGTACTACCTCATCTTCACGTTCTGAGGACATCCGATTCAGATACAGATACACACGCTTCTTAGTCTGCAACGCGAGTCACATAATTAGGGGAGGCTAGGAAGTTGTAAATGCAAAACCGAATAGTGTACGCGAACCATGGATAGACATACATTTTCAAATTATCTGAGACATCTTGTTCACGGGATAACACGAGAGACTGAATAACTTTTCAGTGACTATGTGTTGATGTTACATTAGAACATATGTCTAAAACACTAGGATGTGGATTAAGTTGGGATAAAGTTGACAAAGTAACAGAAACTGGATCGCCACACTGGTTCAAATTATTTAATAATTGTACTAGTTGAAAATGATCTGTTGAAAGACAATTACATAACAGAGAAACAATTCGATTGCAAGCAGCTAATTGTAATTCTACATTTCCGACTGAAGTCAAGTCACCATTATTCATAGCCTCCAATTCAGACTCAAATGGCTGGCATAAACAAACAGTCAAATAGTAATGATAACAAAATAAAGTTTTCTCAAAAATAAAAGCTACAATCGTCAAATATTATTACGATTGAATCATATTATAAATTTAAAAAATAATCCACGCTGCACAATAGAACAGTATGATAAATGGATCGCACAAATCAAAACAAAAATCACCTGGTGCAACAGACAAAAAATAATAGAGATAAAAAATGAAACGGTTGCTTCTTCGCTGAAATTCAGGGCTTCAATATGCGTAAGTATTGGTGAGAATAAAAATTCTCTATCTAGTTATTCATTTTACATGTTAACTGTATACCCAAACATTTACCGATTGCTCTCAACTTTTACATTAGACATGAAGATTAAATAAATCTAGTACAATAAATATTTGCTTAGCTCAACATTGTGACCGTTACCGCAATATCATCACATCAAGATCTTCAACCTACGGAATATCATAATATCGACTATATCATCTTGATTAAATTGAACACTATGGAAATGTTATAATTCTCTCTTATCACGACCCAGCTATTCCTATTGCTTAGTAATCTTGGACACCAATTCACCTATTCCTGTAGCCTTCTCACTTAACTTGCCGGATGTCACCCTTAAAAAGAAATCGTTCAAAAGACTTACAAATTAGGTATGGATGGCACAAATTTCAATAAACAAGGTATTGGGTTTTCACATATTCAGCTAAAGTTTCAAGTGTTCCAATTAAATTAGTGAAATCAAAAAGAACCAGCGCATAAACAAAGAGGTTCTTACCGGCACAGTAAATCAACACCGAATGTGGTTAGTACTAGTTAATTACCAAAGCAAATTACTCCGTACACTGCAAACAACTCGATGTGCTCTGTGGTAGGAAATTACGGATTTCACAAACAGCATCCACACACTTGTACAATGAATTCATTGAGAAGCATCACAATCCGATATCAAACAATCGGGTGAAGTCAACACGAGTTGAAACTAAGATGAACAACAAAGGGGGCACAATAATAAAAGTAGTAACGATAGTGTGAATACAATTGAGAAAAACAATGACAGGGTGTTCAGCAAGAAATCCTGAAAATCAAGATCTAATGAGAAATAACGAATGAATCCGTCCGTACCATTATCAGTTGTGATATACAACGTCCCAACTTGACGTTGCAAAATCAGATGATACATGACTCGACTAGTAGCTACGGATCCTTGATTCTGATTTTGTGTGTACTCACTGATTCATCTGGAACATACATGCTAAAAGTCAGTCAGCGACCAAGTTACGCTCACACATTAACTTATATATAAATACGCGTATTCATTCACAACTGGATTTCCAATAACAAACAGCTAACCCTACTGTAAGACCGACATCTGCGCCAATTTATTTTTGTCACAGTGACTAATGTATTAAGCGGCGACTATTGCTGAGACCGGTAGAGTAATGATAAACACCAGTAAAAAAAAACCAGAACACCCTAATAATAGTTCGGTACACACCTTCTCTGAATTGCCAGAATAACCAATGCCAGTATGACGAGTGTCTTCGCATTTGCTGTTCCACTGATTGTGATTGAAATCGTCACCGAAAAATACGTCAGATGAAGAGCACATTGTCACTGTGTCAAAACCCCGAGAGAGCGGCCTTAGTTACGAGCCCGAAACAACCGCGCTGGAAATGCCAGTGCCCAATGTATTTAGTAAAAACAAATGTTTTGAGACATATGTTGTCTTTGTGCTTTCGAAACGACGATCTATCATCAGTGTACGCGGGAATAATTTTTCGGAATGGGCTGCTAACCTTTTGAACATTGCACACTGTTTAAAAAGGGCAGTGGTATTTTTCCTCTGAGTATATTTTATAGTATTGACCGCTTAATCAGACATCGAGACTACTGTTGTTGCTTTGACTGAATTTATTTCAGTTAAAGTAAGAAAATAGGTTAGTGCTATTGTTTTCCTCGTTGTGTATATCTTTGTATGTTGTTTGTATCCAGAGGTGTTAAGGTCTTTTCGTAACTACTGAAGTCGGGTGTTTTATTGTTGTTACGTACAGTAATATGCAAACCTCTGTTTTTGTTTGTGTTCAGTGTCCATCACCTGTCAAGCCTTAAAAAAGACACTTTTTCTAGAGATCAGTTCTCGCTGTTGTTCTTCCTGTGAGATCACGAAACAAATTTATGGTGCAGGTCAAACATCGTTGTGGCAGACCTGCATGCCACTTCCCTGTCGATGATGGAGTGCAATGTGACAACTGCAATAAGTGGCATCAAAATGTGTGCACCGAACTCACACCGGCTGCATATAGAAGGGAGTCGCAGATGCATGCGCACTTCAGGCAGACTTAAATATTGTGATTAGCTCGTCTAAGGAGTGGCTGATGCCTATCCACTTTTCTGGTCATAGATCATTTTTATCTCTCAGTACTATTGTATCCAGTACCTTTTTTAAAAAGACCTCCGTTTGATGGCTGGACAGTGCAACAGAAGCCATTGCCAACGTCCGGGCTGTCGATACCCTGTTGAAAACGGCATGCAGTGCGATGAGTGCAAAGGCTGGTACAACGAGTTGTGAGGCTTCGACAGAGAATGATGCCGAAACCACTCTGGGTGAGGCACGAAGCCATCTAGATAGGCTCCGGATCCGTTACACCGATGCTCAAAGCTTGCTCAATAAGCGATCGGAACTAGGTGTACAGATTGACTCTACAATGCCAGACATAATCACAGTCACAGAAACTCGGCTGACGCAGTCTATGGATAGTATGGAACTTGATTTCGAAGATGTTACGTTAGTAGGTGCCGACAGAATACAAAAGCGTAAAGATGGGAGAGTAGCTCTATTCATTAGGAATGCCATCCCATTTGCCATTATCGACAGTGTATCCCATGAGAGTGGGACGTGTGAATTAAGTAGTTGCCGTTTGAAATGCAAGGGACAAGAGCTGCTGATTGGTTTGATCTATCGCAGTCCGAGCTGTGAGGTAAATGAGGTCCTGCTAAGCAGTCTCAATACTTGGTCACAAAGTGGTCGATGTCTCAAGCCAAGTATCTTATGACTACGGAGAGTAAGACCTTATGTAGAAAACACTGGGACTTACCAACATTTCCGCTTCTCAAACCTAGTGTGAAACCAAACTCCCTCAATACAACCAGGTCCCTCGACACATTAGATAGTCTTTTCATCTCTTCTTTTCCTTCTACACATATTTCATTTCTAAACATCTAACATCTATAACTATAAACACAAAAGTAATTTATCCTACGTTACACTTAAACAAATTAACTCAGCTTCGTTTTATCATCACCACATCTATATAACACACAGAAATTTACATCTTTTATTATCCTTCTCACTTGATTGTGACTTCCATAGCATCATTCTAAATTATTATTGCACAAATGTTTATACTAATATCCGGTTTTACTCTGTATTCTACTACTACTACTACTACTACTACTACTACTACTTCTACTACTACTAATACCACTACTACATAAATCTACATTTATTCATCCAAGTGCACACAATTATTATCATGGTGGAACCCTTTCACTAGGTGATCCTTCCTAACTATGACTGCACAAACGCTTATTCTGACGTCATGTCTTGCTGCGATAATAAGTTACTTCTCTTATTTTTATTCTATTTTTGTCACTAATCTCGCGATACATGCATAGTCGTTTATCATTCTTCTGTGTTCGTTAACACGCTCATTGAACTGTAACAGCTTAGGCTGGTTGTCAAGAGTTAATCTCAAGCAAATAAGCATATACCAATCACTAACATCCATCGACGTCTTGGACGATGGGCAGAATTTTTCGAAGGGCAGTCCAACTGGCCTGCTGCTCCGCCATACGTTTGTCATATTTGTCTCGAACGCTACCTTCATCTACTATTCCGTCACATTCTCTCAATAACAGCAAAGTGTTTGGCGACAAGGCCAGCTTATCGTTAGCATCTTGGATAACTGGAGTTAAGGGTCGATCGTTCAGTATTCTTTCTACTTCGACCAAATAAGTGCCTAAAGCCTCATCAGTTAAAGTCTGTTCTCTGGTGATCAACAATTACAGTCGGCGTATAGACCTAATCATCCTTTCCCATACTCCACCCCTGTGGCTGGATGAGGGCGGGTTAAAATGCCATTGAATCTGCCTCG